TCAAATACAGATCTACAACTGACAATACATACTAGTAAGAGCAGCAATAAATACTAGTAAGAGCTCATAGTACATATCACATCAATGGGGTAAATACCTAGGGAAGGAAGTAAGAGTTAACAAAAAAAACGCAATCATTACAAGATAATTGTAGGGGATAGAAGAAGAAGAGTACAGGATGTGCATGTTAGGAGTTAGAGGTGTTATAAGAAGAAGTGTTCTCAGAAGAGATGAGTTTTCAAGAGCTTCTTGAAGTTAGAGAGGGGCGCCCCTGCTCTGATGGCGTGTGGCAGCTCATTCGACCATCGTGGTGTCACAGATGCGAACAGCCGGGACTGGGATTGCTTTGTGTGAAGGGATGGCAGAGCCACACGGCGTTCGTTGGAGGAGCGTAGCGGCTGAGAAGGAACGTAAACTTCTATTATAGAGTTTAGGTAGATGGGCGCAGACCCAGTAGTCTCTCTGTATGCAAGCATTAGTGACTTGAATTTGATTCTGGAGGCCACGGAGAGCCAGTGGAGGTCACTGAATAATGGAGTGACATAAGTTCTTTTGGGCTGATCAAAAAACCAGATGCGCTGCTGCGTTCTGAACCATTTGTAAGGGTTTCACCACACAAGCTGGAAGACCTGTTTGGAGGCCATTGCAATAGTCGAGGCGATAGATAACCATGGCCTGTACCAGAAGCTGGGTGGCGTACTGAGTGAGGTACGGCCTGATTTTTCTGATGTTGTATAGAGCGAAGCGACATGACCGAGAGACAGCAGCAACATGCCCTGAAAAGGACAGCTGGTCATCAGTCATGACACCCAAGTTTCTCACCACCCTGGTTGGAGTGATGGTTGAGGAGTCAATATGTAGTTTGATGTTATGGTGGATAGATTGCTTGACAGGAATGACCAAGAGTTCAGTCTTAGAGAGGGTTTAGTGTAAGGTGGCAAGCCTTCATCCATGCAGATATGTCCGAGAGACAGTCCCTGATCCGTGCCGAGACGATTGGGTCGTCTGGCGGGAAGGATAGGTAGAGTAGCGTATCGCCTGCATAGCAGTGGTAAGAGAAGCTGTGAGAGCGAATGATCGGCCCAGTAAGGTGGTGTAAATTGAGAAGAGAAGGGGCCCTAGCACTGAGCCTTGGGGCACCCCTGTGGAGAGGCAGTGGAAGGAGGATAATTGTCCTTGCCACAAAACATTGTAGGAACGCCCCGAGAGTTAGGATTCGAACCACAGGAGTGCTTTACTCGAGATGCCCATTGCTGAGAGTGCGGATAGCAGGATCCTGTGGTTGACTGTGTCAAAGGCAGCTGATGGGTCAAGCAGGATAAGAACTGAGGATTGGGCTGCAGCTTTAGCTGCCCTTAGGGCTTCTGTTACAGACAGAAGAGCCGTTTCAGTAAAGTGGCCCCTCTTAAAACCAGACTGGTATGGATCTAGGAGGTCATTCCGTGAGAGGAATTCTGAGACCTGTTTGAATACTGCCCGTTCAATAGTTTTGGATAAAAATGATAGAAGAGAAACTGGCCAATAGTTCTCAACTTGAATTTGGTCAAGTGAGTGCTTTTTGAGCAAGGGTGTAACCCGGGTCCTTTTGAAAATGGTCGGGAAGGTTCCTGAAGCCAGAGAAGTATTTATCACATGAGTGACTGTCGGGACCACAGTAGGAGATATGGCTTGGAGGAGATTCGTAGGAATCGGGTCCAGTGGGCATGTAGTTGGACGGCTACGGATCAAGAGTTCTGATACTTCACTCTCTGTGAGAGGAGTAAACGAGGAGAGTGAAGAACCACTGACCTGGGAGGGCAGAGGAAAAGATGTATTAGGACTGCTACAATGGTTGAGTTTGAATGTTTCAGAGAATTGGCTAGTTATAGCTGCCACTTTTCCTGCGAAGAAGATGGCAAAGGTATCAGCAGACAAGTTTGTATGTGGTGGAGGAGGATTTAGTAGTGCTTTAAAAGTGGAAAATAACTTCCTTGAGTCAGTGGCAGTGCTAATTCTGTTATTATAGAACACAGTTTTGGCAGCACTGATGCTTGTTGAGAAGGAGGATAGGAGCATTTGGTAGCCCGTAAGGTCAGCGAGGTCTTTGGTTTTTCGCCATTTTCTTTCAGCGGCTCTGAGATCAGTACGGAGCCCACGGATGGTATCTGTTAGCCACGGGTGGGACTGGTTCAGGCGAGCAGGTTTGGTGGATAGAGGACACAGGCTATCCAGGCACATCTGTCAGAGATTTAATCAGGAGATATTTACATTTTGCATAGTAGCTCCAAATTCTTCTTTTTAATGGTGTAGTTTGGGGACATTTTCTTATGCACTTTCTTTCTGAGGGTTAGATGAGAAGATAGTTACCACCCTCATATCTGTTCATTTAATATAAAGCGACTGCCAGAAGCTGCTTAGCTTAGTTTAGCACAAACACTAGGAACAGCTAGTTTGGCTTCGTCCGAAGATAACAAAATCTGCCTACCAGCAACTCTAAAACTCACTAACATGTTATATCTTATTTTTTTTTGTAGTAAAAATGTAATATTACTTACTATTTATAATAATTTAAGTGTAAAAATATATTTTCTGCATTCTACATGATTGTCTTTTAAGATGTTTAGAGTCAAAACTTTTCTATTATTTCTTTGGCCTGAAGCAGTCATACAGTATTTTTAAAAAGCCCTAAAATGATATCAAAACCAGGTTTAAAAAGCTCAGAATGTATAATTTGTGTATATTTGCAGAATGTAAACACCTCAGGCAATTCAAACTCCCAAATTCATGAAAACCGTACTGAGGACATGACCTCGGAATCCTCAAAAACACATAGTGTTGCTTGTTTTCTGCAAAGAAATGAGGTGCAGATGGCAAAAATGTTTTTTGTTTTCTTTTGTAGTTGAAACAGCAGCACAAGGAGCACTCTGAGCAGCGATTGGCCATCGAGGAGCTCGAACGCAACATCCGGTTGGCTGAAGACGTCTGTCCAGGCATCACAGACAGGATGGTCACACACATCATTGCCAGGTACCAGAAGTACGTCATTTTATATATCTCCAAACAAAATATCTCTGTCTTCCTCCATCAGTTCATTTGTTTACCAAATGTTGTGATTTCTGTCACTCGCCCTCAGATTCACGACCAACTGAAGGACAGATGGATCTTAAAAAAGGAAGTACGTTATGTGAAGAGAGACTGTGTCTCCATACAGCGATGCTGCTGGATGATGGAAACAGAGGAGATTTGCTGTGCGATGTCTCCTTACTGCGCACACACACACATCACAAACACACACACACACACACACTAATGTAATATATTCAGCATATATTCACTGCAGCTGGTTGAAGGCCTTTTTTCTCCACAAGTTGGATTCGAAAGACAGCTGCGTGTCTGAAGTTTTGAAAGTAGAATCTGAGTTGTCAGTTAGATTTGTGGTTTTCATTTCCCCCTTTTAGGGTCATGAACCTCTCCATTAATTTTTTGAAAATGTAATCATTTCTTGAGCTTGAGCATTTTTGAGTGATGAGCAGACATTTTGGTCAAACTTAATTCAAACATAAGTCCCTAAGTCAGTCTACTTAAGTTATATTTAAACTTCCTAAATTACCATGATTTGCCTTTAATTATTTATGCTTTCATTTTCTAAAAGTTTTAATGGAGGTGTCATGTTTTTGTTGAAACCGCAAACAGACAAATATAGAGAAGAGGGTTCCTGACCATCAGCAGTGGTATGTTTTGTGTCATGACTTGTCTTGACTTTGTAGATGTCTATATGTTTGTTCGCTAGCACTTGAGACAGATTATATGCCATTATTACATATTTTTTGTTGTCTTCAGTGATGCTTTAAATTACAGTTCCCTGACCCAGAGAAGATCTTGTCTACTCTTCAAAGACTAACACATAAGCGTAACATATGTTTTTAGGATTGTCATTTTAGCTCTGAAATAGAAATGCTATCAAAGATGTACTCCACCGCTGGAACAATGCTGAGGACAGGAGAAAAGAATTCTGAAATCAGAATCCCCAGCTTTACTGACAGATTTATATGGTAAATATTTTGAACACACGGTGTGGAAGACCTTCCTTAAAGTTGAACACACTTGAGGAATCTTAAAAACATTTTTATTTTATGTTTCCCCGGCGAGAAACATGTAAAAACTGATCCTTTTTAGGTATCCAGACTAATTTTTTAACCCATTTTTGGGACCTGCCAAACTCTAGCCCAGCTAGGCAGCTAGTGGCTTGCTAACTAGTAAGCTAGCAGGCTAACTGTTGTTGTACCCGTTTCCAAAAGTACTTGCTAACCACTGCTAGTTAAGTTTTAACCTAATTACTCAAAACGGCTCCGTTTTGAATAAGATCAGTGTTGCTTGTGTTTGGTTGGCGTCAAAATGTGTGGTCCAAAGAAAGGGTGGTAAATCCTAACTTTGCCTTTGGTCTGGAAGTAACTTGACTGTTGGTTAAGATTGGAATTCTGGGATTAATTTTTTCGGATGTGTGTAGTTCAAAATACTTCTGGTTGGAATATGGAAATGAAAAATGTCCAGTGTCTGCAGACAAGGCACAACCGCACCAAGGTCTTCACTCGCCACTGAAAAGACTGTCCTTTTTCTTAATATGTTGAGTTTGGGAAAAAATTGTAAAGGACTGTTACGAATCAACTTTTTGACAGATGTTAACTTGATGTGTAAGCATTTGATAGTAGACAGGTCATTTTTAAAAGCATGAAGGGAGCTGTAATCTCAGGTATTACGAATAGTTTGTACCAAAGACACTATAAAAGTTGGTCATTGTATATTTTTGTCTTTTTATATATCATAAGGGATACAACAGTGCTTGTTGGGGGGGGAGGGGGGGTGTACAATGAAAGATGTAAGATTATACAGAAATGTACTCTCTTTTTTTTGTAGCGGGACTTAGAGTTTTATGAATAAATATTTAAGTTTGATTGAGAAACATGTTTCAACTGTTTCTTTTCACTACTCTTATTTTTTTTCTCAAGGACAAATCATGGCAATGAGGCACATGTTGTACTGAGCAAAGTAGTTTTCGTTCAATGGTTATCAGTGCGCATGTATTAAAATTGTGACAAATTTTGGGGTATGAATGGTTTCTGACAATCTTTGCTTTAATTTAGATTTCTGTTACCACATTGTGTCTTAAATAATTGTTTATAATCGGATTGCTTTGTTGAAATTACCCAATAATGTTAAACAATTGTAATAATACCAGAAAAAGGTATTAATTTATTATTAAGTCACATTTATTGTTTTCATCCTTTTATAATCATTTATTGGCAAATGCAGTTGTGTTATATGAAGCGAAAAATTCTTTGTTCACACTTCTCTACTGATTCACAAAAATCATTCATATAAAATAACAAATCCAGCTACGTCACCCAAAAATCCAGTAATCTTTACCAAATCCATCTAAACACAGCAACAGAACACACAAGACTTCATATTAAAGTCCAAAACCATTTCTTTCTTGCCCTGTGCATTTTGGCTTAGAGAATGCTGCATAACACCATAAGTTTCTTCAGGCTGTTGCTTCACAAAGCAGGAGCAATTGGCCAGAAGAAGAAAATAAAGACACATTAACACCGGACTCCTACACACAGCCACGCTGCTATTGACCTAAAAATGCTGTTTCTCCTTGGCTTTGCAAAAGCCGGGTTAGTTGATACATCTGAGGCTTGTACAGCTTGTTTGACCTTGGGTGGTCCGCTAGGAGGGGTACATAGGTATGATTTTAGATGTATTAACAATCCTCAAAATTGTACCCATAATGTGGCTACTAAAGAGCAGCTGGTGTTTTCAGAAGTTGAGGTTTTCGCTAAAAGGCAAAAAGAGTACATTTAATCTGCCAGAACACTTTAAAGACAAGACACTTCTCATACACACAGTATGAAGCCATCACATTTATTACAATAGTCCTGTTTTATCTACAGTCTGTGTTTTTGTGCGATTGTGTTTTTTTTTTTTTTAAACCATCCCGCCAGTTTTCAGTGTGATCATATCATGAACCTTTGCACAGTTTGCATGTGTGTCTACAGAGTTACTTCAGTAATCTTCGCAGCACCTTTAGTCTTGTCTCCTCCTAAGTTTTCTTTCATCTCGTCTTCGCCCTTCTGCTCCTTGTTTGCTCTCTCCATCGCAACACTTTCCGCCTCCTCTTTCTCCTCCGCCTCTTCCTCCTCATCCAGTTGGAGGCTTCCAGAAGAAAACCTCATTCTGGCTAGTCCGGCGGATCGTACCATTTTCCCCAGCGGGGGTGGTGGGCAGTAATACGGATAGAAAACCTCTGGGTCTGAATCGCTGTAGCTTCCCGTGGTGCCTCCAATCATGCATAGCGAGGCGGGTCGTTCAGGCAGAGGGGAGGAGTTTAGTGGGAGGTAGGTGGGTCTGGAGGGGCGTGTCAGGTGGGGGTAGTAACCAAGGGGACGAAACTCAGATGCAGGGTTAAAGGTGGGGTTAGAACTTCTTGAGAGGTGAAACTTAACATCTGGTTGGCTAGCCACGCGGCGAGGCAGTCCCGGCAGGAAGTTGGAGTCGTCACTGTAATGCCCCGCCTCCGTATGTCCAACGCCCAAGAGCCTCGCTCCATTGCTTCCTGGCTGGTAAACCCTAGCCAATCCCAGTCCGCCTGAGCCGGAGGGGCGGAAGTTCCTCCTGATTGGCGAGTTGGACGGTGAACCATGGCTTAGCGGATAGAAAGATGATCGCGATAGGCCATCCATTGTTACGTAATCCTGCCTTCTTGCCTGCGGGAAACGCTCCAGTGAGGAAACAGCAACATAGTCCGACAAGTAGGGGTGACGGTTAAAAGGTGAGGAACCAGCTAATGGGAATGTTGGGAGGATAGGGTGATACTGGTACGCAGGACTATTTGGGTAGAGAAGAACCAACTGCTGAGGGGCATCCGGGTGTGGCTGGGGATTGGGCCGACGCCGTGACCTGTTACCATAGACACCGGCTAGCCTTTGGGCTTGGCGCTGCGTCCCGATCCGCCCCCCCCTCACATCCTCCATTACAGATGTGGAGGCAGATCTTATCTTGGGCGAGAGGGACGATTGGTGTAGAGATGGAGAGAGGGGAGTGACTTGGGAGAGAGGGAGGCTCCTCTGGGTGACCTCGACAGATGACTGGCTGCGTTTAGCCCCTCCTCCACAGATTTCGATGTCGTCTACGTCTTGGTGATGTGGGTCCAACTCATCCTGACTGCGGGCTGCCAAAGCATGACTTGACCGAGTCAAAGGGTGGGAGTGCTCGTACAACTGAGGAGATAGGACATAAAACATTAGACCTTCCTAACGATTATTTTCATATCAATTAAGCTGCATATATTTGGCATTCTTGCTTGAAAAATTACTTACGATTATCAAAATAGTTCACTTTCTGTTCATCACCTTATAGACTAATCAACTAATTAATGCAGCTCTACTTGTTATGTGAAAGCAAGCTATCTGCATCAATGTTTTTCCTACTCTGTGAATGTTAGTTTATTTTAGTTTTCTTTACTTGTTTGGAGACATCCGTGAGGAGATCAGGTGAAGAACGACAGTGTCTGGGATCGAAGTCTGACTGACAATAAGTCCTGGATGACGAGTGATGAGACATAAAGAAAAGATGATAAATAGAGACGATAAGAAATCACTTCTCTCTTTCGTTAGCTTGTATTTGATATTTTTTCCAAATGGTTCATCTGTTACCAGGGTGCTTTTCCTTTGACCCTTAACCTACACAAGACCTTGGTTAAGTTGACTGTTAGCTAAATGTGTAAAATATACAGTAAATTCACACAACAAGAGAAAAGAAATAAGAATAACAAAATTAACTATCCTGTTGGGGTTTGGCATCCCACCACAGTTCAAAAACATTGAAAATAAATGCCTTTATTGGTGGTTTCTTTGTTTTTGAGGTAAATCGAAGCCTTTTTTTGTTTGCTTCATTTACTCTCACCTCTCAAAGTGCGAAGGCTTCTTCTCCCCTGATCCCATACACTCCAGCAGCTGTTTCTGGGTCCGCCCGCTACCACACAAAATAAAACATTAAAAACAAACATTACACATGAAATAGTCATTATAACCATTATCTTCAAGGATACAGCAGTGTCTAAGAGCGATATACAAAGCTCTTCCCAAAATTAAATGAAATTCTGAAACAGTGAAATGCAAAACTTCAGTTTTTCCAAATGCATTCTGGTAACACCTCCTAAACAACAAAAAGCAGTGTAAAAGGTTGTTCTTTGTCTTGCAACCTGCATAGATGACCCATCTCTAAATCAGGGTCAGACCCTTAAAGGGTTGACCAAGCAGGCATGTTTGGATTGACTTTAGATGGTTAGAGGAAGGTTCATGTTTAGTCATCAGTTTAAATCTTTCCCTGAGGATAGGTAATCCACCTCAGTGTTTGGGCGTTAGAAAATTCTTGAGGTCTCAATTGAAAATGAACACCAAGTTAATTGTAGGTCTCTGAAAAGACATGAACAGACCCAAAGAGACTGGTGCCACAACCTGAGCATTTCTTTGTTTGAGTTCAACATTTATAAAACGACAACAAAACTAGATGTGTAACCACACTTGAAAACAAACATAGAAACAAATGTGACAGAAAAAGGAGAAAACTGTAAAAATAATTGGAGCTTTGGTAAGAGATATAATATTTACCTGTATCTAAAGCTGGAGCCCTTACTGGACAGCAGTGTTTTGTGTATTGTCTTCGGTTCCTCTGCCAGTCTGAAGAAGGCATGGTACTCCACGCACGTCTTCCAGAAGGACTTGCATACATCCCGACTGGTCATGGAGAACTCTAGTGTGTCCTTACACGACGGCTGGATGGACATCACACAACACGTACATTATGTAAATATGTGTAAATAAATGCAGCCACCCAAACACGGAGTTTTAAAACAAACAGAGGATTAAGCCAGGTCAGGTCCTCACCCCAACTTTGTCGTGTAGTTTAATGAGGAAATGTTTTCGCTTGAAGCTCAGCTTTCGGATCTTCGCCCAGCTAAACGTGTTGATTTTGGTGTTTCCCTAGAAAGCACAGAAGATTAATGCGTGTTGTTCAGTGCAAGACGACAGTCTATAAAGATATAACATGTTGATGTTAAGGTGTAACATGTAGTGTTTTACAATGTTAGTCTCTTGCTTTAGATGTACCTATGTATGTGGAAAGTTTTGTCCTGTTGGTGGCTAAAAAAGAGTCAAGGGGATTACCAAAGGATTCATCCTCTGGAGACCCTGAATGTCTGTGCCAAATTTTCATGGCAACCCATCCAAAATTTGTTGAGAAATTTCACTCTGGACCAACAAACTAACCCTGCCATCCCTAGAGCTGAGCTGCTAATGTGGCTAAAAACAGCCCCCCTGCAGGCAGAGTAGTGGCATGACAGCAAGCACTTTCAGCTACCAGCTTTATGGAAGGTTAATCCGTGTGTGAAGGTGTGTTGTTTAGACTAACAGCCACATACCTGAAAGACAAGTACTCCAGAGTGCGTGACAGCCAGGTTGATCCTCATTCCCTCCCCGTCATGGGCGGGGTGAGGCCTGATACCGTACATGTCCAGCTTCCTTGCCACCTCCAGCAGTTGGATATCAGAGTCTGCTGGAGACGCACCTCTACAGAAAGCGAGAGAGAAGAGACTGAATGAAAAGTGCAGGCTATATTTACCAACACATTTTAACCATGAATGACCTTAGGTGTGATTAAGTTGTGATGTCTTTGTTGAATCCCTTTTGGTGTGGAAAAACATCCACACAGCTGTCCATACACCACAGTCAGCAATAAGTTTTTGTTGTGTACCTGTGTTTCTTGTGAAACTTGATGATCTTGTGGTCTAGGTATTCCTGGTTGGGGACATACTGCTTCATCTCTAAATGGTGACAGTCGAGCTCTTCGTCATAGTCCCCTAGCTCTGCTGTAACACAAACACACACGTTAAAACATGCTTGGAAAAATAGTGTTTACATATAAATAAATCAGTACAGTCACAGGGTATGTTTGTAATAAGTCTTTCTTTTCTCTAACTTTGTGTTTCCAAATATCTTTATTTGGATAAAACACACGTTTTTAATGCTCAATAACAGTGGTGAATGAAGTATTAATATATTGCCACACTGAAAATAAGTATTATAAGTCCGGCATTCAAAACCGTGTCTATCCTGTGAGAACCACGTAGCTTTAACAAGTCAACCTTTCATGAGCTCAGAGAAACAGCCTGTTTTCAGCTTTGCTAAGATGCTCTTTCCAGCTGATTTATCTAACTTAAAGTAGGCAACGTTGGAGAACTAGAGACAGCTACATTTTGAGAGTAGCCAACCAAAGAAATTCCAGCCCGTCCCTTGAGGCCTTCCTCAACAGCCAATCATTTAATTCAAATGAAATACTCAGGCTAATTAAGTGCTTATATTACAGTCCAATGACAGCCACAAACAGGCTACTGGATTTTTTTCATTCATTTTTTTCATTCTTGTGTCACAGCATTGCATTTGAAAATTGATTGTAATCTGAAATGTAACTAAAGCTGTCAGACAAATGTAGTGAAGTAAAAAGTACCTCTGAGATTTGGTGGAGTAGAAGTATAAAGTTGCATAAAATAGAAATATTCAGGTAAAGTACAGGTACCTTGAATCTGTACTTAAGTACACCACTTAATTAACTGTACTTAGTTACATTCCACCACTGTCAGTAATACATATAATAAACAGTATATAAATTCAATTATGTCTGCTGGCTTGGATTTACTTCTTTATGACAACTTTGAGTATGTCTGTATTTTAATGCTTACACTGCAGTATATGAGAGACTAGCAGGGCGGCGCTGTTGTCATGACAGGTCAAACTGCCGTTAGACAAGTCCTGTTTTATCTGTAAGGCAAAAAGATACCTACACACACACACACACACACACATAATAAGAACATCTATAATTCATTGATTTCATGTGTTAGGAGGTGAGATGTGATAAGAGAGATAAGAGGTAAATAAATATCTCATCATCTTGAGACAACAGTGGATACAGTTTGGATATATGACAAAGATCCAAAGATGTCTAACAAACATAGTTACCTGGTGAGGCCTCTCTTTAGTTGTCCGGGATCTGGTGGGAAGAACTTTACTATAAACCTGAAGAACAGATCGTTGGTGTCTGGAAAAAAAGAAAAGGAACATTAAAGATACAGAAGCATTGACTTGTTTTTCTACTGCAAGTGCGAAATTAGCAGAAAGTTTGATCAGTGGTGAAAAGTATATTTATTTAAGTACTGTACTTATTCTATTACAACTTTGAGGTACTTGTACTTGTATGCCACTTTATACTTCTCCACTAAATTTCAAAGGGAAACTTTACTATTTTACTACTCTTTTTTTTTTTACACAAAACAACATTATCAACTTATTAAATATGATGCATTATTATAGATTAAAGATTATGTTGCTGATTATACTGGCTCAGCCCCCCCCCCCCCCCGTGTCTGTCGATGTGGGTGTGTTTTGGGGCGAGGTAGTGACACCTATCTTCTCATCAACACCTGGTATATAAGACTCAAGGCCTCCTGTGATCGGCGCTAGATTATTCAGTACCTAACCACAGTAGAGTACATCAGGCCAAGTATAGGTTCTAGTGTTTCTAGTTTTGTTGTTTGCTAGAAACCTTCATTGTGTTTTTCTCTTTAAGATTCTTGTGTTGTCTGCTGGAGTTTTCACTTTGCTTGTATCGCCATATGCTACTTTGGAAACCGGATCTCTTCAGCTCCAACCTGCCTGCCCCTTACTCTAGCCAAGCCTTACCCAGCCTTCATCATCTTTGCACCTTTTGTTAAGTAATGAAGCCTGTAAAAGTTGGTCTGTCTCTTGTGCTTTGTGTCTGCGCTTGGGTCACCCACACAAGCCTTAACAGGAGGTATAGGAAGCTCTGCTGGGATTTACGTGAGGTCATCATGTTCTTAGAAGAATGTTTATGTTGTAGTTTGCCCTGCAACAAAACTAACAGGAGAGCCTCTGAAGTCCCTAAAATATATTTTATTGTCTTATTACCATGTGTGCAGAGATTTCAGAACGAGGATTGTCCTTGAGCCATACTTCTGGTTACAAAGGTCACCGAGAGTCACTCGTATGGATCCTGTCCATGATGTTGTCATACACCTGGTATAACCGTCTGAGCCTGTCAGTGGCTTAAAGAAGCACTTTTTGTCGACATAATTTTGACGAGCGCAATTCCCTCGAAGGAATACTTTGCAGCTACTGCAGCCGGTTTGCAGCTGTGGCTGAAGCCATCTACTACACTGATTCCAAAACGTTTTTAGGATCCATAACTATGTTTTCAGTGGTGGATAAAAACCTCACATAATGAACCGTTATGTTTGTATTACCTTAGAATGAGCCATTTCTATCTACATACACTGCGGGACCCCTCACCATGTTGGAACACCATGTTTCTACAATACACAAACTGGCTTGGAAAGGGAGAGCTGAGCGGTGGCTGCATTCATGTGGTGTCAAAATAATCAGAATCCTTTTTTTCCTCCTTGAATCTTTTTTGCAAAAAGAGAAATAAAGTGTACATGGGACATAAAGAAGAATACAGAAACTATGATTTGTGCAAAATCACATATTTTTAATACATATTTGCAAACATGTAATTTGTAATATGGTTATAATGGTTTGCTGTCCATGAACTAGATGTCTGCGTGTTGTTTATACGCTCTGATAATGCTAATCCGACACATCTTTGTAGTAGCGTCCATGTTGATTCCACAGTCTGACTTAAGAGCACATGAACACACACCGAAGTCGGAAGGACGAAGGACGACCATCTGAGGAGCATGAGAATGCACTGTGAGCAGCTGGTTGTGATTCGCAACCCTCACCACTAGATGCCACTAAAACTTACACAACTTTCTCCAACTAAATGAAAACAAGACAGAAGTAATATTATTTGGTTCCCCAAACTCAATTGAGGAATTATCAAAAATTCTGGGCCCCCTGTCCATTAATGTACAACCCTTTGCTAGGAACTTAGGGGTTATCCTTGATTTAGCATTAAAATTTGACAAACATATAAACTCTGTTGTTAAAGGTTCATTTAAGGACCATAGCAAAACTTAAATCCATCCTCTCTGTAAAGGACCTTGAAACTGTCTTGCATGCTCTTATATCATCTCGAATTGATTACTTCAGTTACTTGTACTCAATGTGACATCTCAGTGGCATCTGTCACTCATCTTTATCAAGCTTGTTCAAAATGCAGCTGCTAGATTGTTAACTGGTACAAGGAAGAGGGACCATATATCCCCAATATTGGCTGCTCTTCACTGGTTACAGTCAAATATAGAATCGATTTTAAGGTGCTGTTAATTGTTTTTAAGGCGTTACATGGACTGGCCCAATCTTATATTTCAGAACTCCTAATATTTCATCACTCCTCCAGACTCCTCAGATCATCAAACCAATCACTCTTAGCCATCCCACAGTCTCGTATGAAAACAAAGGGTGCCCGTGCCTTTTCAGTGGTGGCCCCAAGACTGTGGAATAATTTACCCCTGATTATTAGATCACCCCCCACTATCCACACTTTTAAGTCTCGACTTAAAACACATTTTTATTCTTTGGCGTTTGAGTCTGTTTAGGGGCATCTGCGCTTGTGTCTTTATTTATCTATTTTGTATCTAAATTTGTTGTTTTTCTATCTTATTGCTGTATGTTATTAATCGTTTGGCCTGTTTTAATTTATCTGGTTATATTTTTTATGTCTTCTTCTGTATAACTTGTCCAGCACTTTTAAATGTGCTTTAGAAATAAACTTGGCTTGACTTGACACTGAAACTTTAAGTAATGGATGTGAGTACTTCTTCCAGAGAGAAGAATGATGCTTAAAGTAGAAGATGCAGAGAAAATGGAATTGGTTTGTTTCCCCTAGACTCTGCTGTGGTTTCTATTCTGCTGGATTTTGCTCCTGCACCACTAATGAAAGACAACGACAGCAACAATACAGTTATTTTTCACATTACCAACGTCACACCCTCTACTTGCATTTTAGCTTGTAGAGAATCATTACACATTGTCTCACATTTCTGTTGAGACCCTTGACCATAACCCTGGTAGTGACATATCACTATATCCCACTTTCTGTCTTAAGTACCTGGTAAGAGTTTATCCTGGTTTCTGAAACTAAAATATGATGTTTACATGTTTACTTGATCATAACTGGAGTGCATGTAAAAGTGAAGTGCCTGTGACTTACATTTAATCTGTTTAGCCAGCGGCTTCAGCAGCTCTAACCACACCTGCAACAGAAATGTGTTACATGGCAAAGAAATTAAAATATTCTTTATGCGTGTACATGTGTGTTAAATCTTTCTTACGTAGTTGCCGCTGTGGTGTCTGAATTCCAGTCCAAAGTACTCTTTCTCCAGCAGTTTCAGATGGCCACACACTTTGTTGAAGAAGTCGCCGCCTAAAACCTTTTGCTGAGAAAGAGAGAGAATTAAAGTGGTAATAAGAGAGTGAGAGGGATTTTTAATTGGATTTTTTAATTGAGACGCTCTTAAAACTCGAGTCCATGGACTCTCAGGGGACCCCAGCTCAATTTCCCTGTTACTTAGTTCATGAGAACTTTGCATATTGTAAAGTTGTATAATGCTGCATTCACTGTTATGGGTCATATAGACTGGAGGTCTGTTGTTTTCAAAGTGAACTGAAAGTCCTCCAGAGTTGAGGTAACATTTGACTCCTGCCCACAAGGCAGGTGAGAAAAGCTAATGATGTTTTGGTTTTAACAAGTCAAATAGGTGCTTTGTTACACACATGTGGGGTCACACTTATTTCCAATAAAGATTTAATTGTGAAAAAACAAGAACTTGTTGCACACTTTCCCACTGGCTGTGAATGCAGGATAATACAAAAGGATAATAAACAAAAATATTTAAAGCTTAAATTCCATGTTGATCTGTTATCTGTTTTCTGAAGCCTAACTGCTACTGGATTTATTAGGTTATGATTTGAGTTTTAAAATCTGACATTTATATATATAGCTACTATTTTACGGGGTTTTTTTCACTTTAGTACTTTTAAGTACATGTTGCTGATAATACTTAGATAATTTTACTTAAGTTAGGTTAGGTATGCAATTCTAATCCAAGACTGTGTTTTATCAAATTCAGCGAATATCTCAACGGTGTGGGGGATATTTTCTTGGCGCCTTATTACCAACTGAGCATCGTTTAAACGCTCCAGCCTACTTGAGTATTGCTGCTGACCATGTCCATCCCTTTATGACCACAGTGGACCCATCTTCTGATGGCTACTTCCAGCAGGATAATGCACCATGTCACTTTCACTGTACTCCAGTGGCCTCCACAGTCACCAGGTCTCAATCCAATAGAGCACCTTTAGGATGTGGTGGGACGGGATATTTGCATCAGTGTATGATGCAAATCAATATGGACCAAAGTCTCTAAGGAACGTCTCTAACACCTTGTTGAAAGTATGCCACAAAGAATTAAGGCAGTTCTGAAGGCAAAAAGGGGTCCAACCCGGTACTAGCAAGGTGTACCTTGTGCAAGACCCACTAAGGTAGATCTAAGTAACATTTACATTGATTTCAGTCCAATAAAATGTAGGACGGATGTGCACTCAAGAACCTTTCATTGTGTCCTCCTCAAACTTCTCCTCTTATTGCCTCCTCTCCTGTTCTTTTTTTCTTTCCCTCTTCTTCCCTCATTTTCTTTCTCATCTCTCTAATTACCGAGATGTGCATTGTTCCCTTAACTGCAGCAACACAATTGTTTTTTTTTTTTAGTGTTTGCTGTCTGCTAGCCAGTGTTTAGCACCCCGACAAGGGTCACTGGACGTCCCTCATTAACTTGTCATGAGAAAGAGCGAGAGGGAGGAAGAGGAGGGACAGAGCAGCTGTAAGCGATTATGAAGAGAACACAGGCCTAACCGATGATTACTGGAAACAAATGGCCGCCCCCAGAACAACAGAAGAGTTTCAATAGAGCAGAATAGAGTAAAACTGAGTGGAATTAAACTTTATTGTCCAATCTGCTGGCTGGAAATTCATCCGTGAGACATATAATGTAAAATGTAGGAAAATATGATGTCCTTTCAAACAAATGTCATGACATGCCTGAAATATATATATAATTATTTCAATTTTATTTGTCAAAACATCCTGTTAATTAATACCGTTTCATTTTATTCTTTTAATTAAAGGGGAAATCCATCAATTTTACACATCAGAGTCTGTTTGCAGGTGTTGGTGAATACTACTGCATATGTGAAATAAGTTGTTTAAAGCCTTTATTGTCTCCAGAGGGAGCTGTGTGAAGTCTGATAAACTGCCTCAAGTAAAAACACTTGAGTCATGTGAGTTGCTGAAGACTACAACTTTAAAAATGAAAAGAAATCTGTCGGTGTGGAGTTAGAAAGAAGTGAGCTTACCAAACCTCTGTAGCCAGAGGCTCAAGGCTTCATTAGCTGCTGCTAGCATAACACAGCTTAATCTCTGACTGAACAACCTGTATGGTCAAGACCCCTTGGCGTCAGTTTGTAACGCACTGGGAAGCCAGGGCTTTTATGAACCCTAAAAGCATGTATAGCGTATAAATAACAGAAAAGTCCAACTAAGGAAGTGGTTGGGGTAGACAGGTGGGTCACAAACCAGACTTTCACCAAGGAGACTGGTGTTTGTCTTCCTTCTGAAACAAAACCTCAACATTGATTGTTTTTATTTACCGTAAAACTTCAGCTAATAGCCGATTCCCAAATAGCTGCCTACCCCGTTTACTGGCCTGGTGAGGGAACCCATTTTGATTAAACGCCTGGTCTGGTTTTTAAAGAAGACCTTTGGATGTGTAAAACCTCTTCAAACCCGCCGGGTCGCCCGCTTTAGCTGCTTCCAAGCTGCTTTGATCGTTAATACAAATATTAATGTTTAAATGTAAGATCAATATCAATATGGATATGCCACATACCATTATATCAGTTAGATTCTCTGTAATTCAATCGTTCAGTTCATTTAAGGGAAACCACGAGCCCCAAAGTCTAATTCTTATAGATTTACCAGTGTAACCGACAAGAGATGAAAAAAAATGAAATAAGTGCCGACTCCCGTTACGTGTGAGGCGCTGGTTAAGTATGAATGTGTCCATTGAAATCTAACTGAAAGTTGCATTTTTATTGTTGCTAACTTGACTGCGGAGCCCTACACGTCAAAAAACGACACTAAAGGGGTACCCTGGGTGTTACCAAGCGACGACAAGGGTCTTGACCAACTGACCATACAGGGCTGGACTGGTAATATGGCATAAATGCCCGGTGGGCCAACGCACCTTTGGGGCTGGTGTAATGTAAATTATTTATTTATGTAACTGTTTTTTATAAATGGGCCAATGATCGGCCCACAACGCACGGACAGCGGCCCATTGGGTAATTTTCTATACTGACACTGGGCCGGCCCAATTACATCTCTTACTAGCCCCCACCCCCTCTGCTCTCTGTTTCTTGTGTTACAGCCCCCACCAAAAAATCTTCAGATGGCTGCCGCCAAATGCGTGAAAACAACCGATATGTTTGTTACCGTTGCTGCAGTAGCTTCAACATCAACATCAGCAGGCACAGACACTTGAAGGAGTAAAGGAGAGCCATGGCCTCTGGCAGGCAGAGGAGGAGGCTTGTGTTAGCGAGTGACAAAGTGACAGGGCCGTGGGAGAGAGAGAGAGAGCAGGAGTGGAGAGTGGAGGTGAAGGGGTAAGCATGGAGCAGCTCAACCTGTAGGAAGGGAGGGTCATTTACACTGGGGACGCTGGGGACAGGTACCCCCCACTTTTTGAAAGCATTTGTTAAAAATGTTCAGAAAAATATCTTGCTCCAAGAAATATTAATTAACAAATAAAAATGCTATGAGAAAGGTTTATTTGCACAATAAGCCTGCAATGCAATGGAAACCTCTGCGTTCAAAAAAAGTAACTTAAGCTAAAAAGAAATAATAAGCTACTGATTACTGCATTATATTCTATTACATTTTTATATTCTGAATTGTCACCTACCACCTGAATTTTGTGCTTCCCATATAAATAAAGACATCTCCACCATAAATTGGTGCAGAAAATGTCTCCAGAATGCAGGGAGGACCCCCAGACCCCCCCACCAAATATTTCATCAATAAATGTTTTTTCTAAATAGAAGGCCTATTAAAAAATATTCTTGTCTTGTTGTCATAGTGCAATATCACATCTCATGGGCTAAGTGTTTCATCAACACCCCTAATCTCAGGAGGGTGTATATGTGATGGGTGTCTGACCAATTTTGGTTGGCTGCCTGGGCCAAAAATACCACGGCTGATTTTTTGTCCCAGTCCAGCCCTGCGTCCATATGTGAGAGTTGGGAGTGAGACTGAACTGTCTGCTGTTGAGTTGCATTGTGGGTAATGTAGGCGCCTGCATTGCTGTATGCCGCCGCAGCAGCGTCTTTTTAATAACTGGGTGATGCCACAGGCAGAAATGTCGAATTCCACACGGTTTTGTATTAACACAACTTTAGTTTACTTTTCCTAAAACAATAACAAGCACTAGGCATGGTTCCATAAAATAAATCTGACACTACATTTTACTTGAGTCCCTTTATTCATTCCTGTATCTACTCTGTGTCTGTCTACCATTCCCACTGTCTGATCATTAATTGGGGTTTTGCCCCCCAGGTTAGACGATTGGAGTCTCTCTCTCACACACACACACACACACACACACACACACACACACACACTGAGTACCAACTTGAAATCTATTTTTATGATTTTGTGTCTGTCACACACTTATCTCCTCTTTTTATCAGATACACTATATTTATCACAGAGTGGGTAGTCTATTTTTCCCCTCGTTCATCCATCCATTCATCCCCTTTCTTTCTTTTATTGTTTCTTTCTTCACCTCTCTTCTCCTCCTCCTCCCCCTCCTCCTCTAAAGATGCTACTAATGCCCCTGAGGGCCGCTTGGAAACCGTCAGAGAAAGCATGGGCGTGGAAAATGGAGCTACTTTGCTAACACAATACCCCAAGCCAAACACACGCAGTGAAAGTCTCTTTTTAGATTGCATTGCTGCCTTGCAGGCGACGTCACCATGTTGAAAACGCAGCCCGTTTGCTTTTCTGGAGCTGGACTGTGGACCACATGACCGTTCATAGACAGCAGAGTGTTTACGTTTCACATCCAGCTGTTTACACCTCACACAGCTGTTTGACAGCCAAACACCTGTAACTGTTTGGATTTGTAACACATATTTTCTTAGTATTTGTCTGATTCAGTCAATCTATTTTAAGATATTTAATTTCCAAAATTTACTTCCACCCCGAATCTGTTCACGCCTCTGTTGGACACAATAACATGAACACCTGTCCTGTACGATCTATCCAGTATAAAAAAAGTAGATATAAAAATTAAGTAGAGTTATAAATTATAATGGTGTTTAACCATTGTGTAAATGAAGCATTGATTCAACGCTTGTAGTGTTGTCATATTGGAATGCATTTAATCCCAATAAGTGTTTTTATGAATGAATGAATACTGATCAATCTCCACCAGAACACCGTTTAAAATTTTGGCATAATATTTCAGGGGCCAGCGAGAAAGTCTGACATTCATGATTACTGCTAAAGAAAACTTGTTTCACAAGCTTTTTAAGTTAGTAAAGAGCTTTGCAAGTTTAAATATTGTTCATCGTTCATAAAGGTTTACATTCTGTTTTTTGTTGTTTTGTTTTGTTTGTCCCCGTCACATATTACACATTAGAGCAGGATGTCCTGTCTTGCATCCATACATGCTGCGGCTGTAACGATTATTTTCATTATCAATTAATCTGCAGATTGTTTTTCTACAAAATTGTGAAACATACCTATCACAGTTTGATATAATTGCTTGTTTTGTCTGACCGGCACAGCTAAAACCAAATATATATATTTAGTGTTACGTAATATAAGACAAAGAAAAGCAGCAAAAATAAACATTTGAAAAGCTGGAAAATTTTTCCACTTTTGCTTGAAATGACTACTGATTAATTTATTATAAAAACTGATTATTCGACTAATCATTGCACTTCCAGATTCACAACACTTTAGCCTCAGTTTCTCAGTCTAATCTGTCTCTATTGTGCAATAAAGACAACAACACTGTGGGGACATATTTTAGGGTAGCAGCAGCCCAAATGTTTGCAGGTAGCAGGAAGGCCCAGACCTGAACTATGTCTCCTGATGGAGGTGCAGCCTAGAGATATGAGATGTTGGTGACTGTGATGTTGCTGGTTTGAAGTCATGTAGATAGTTTAAGACCATCTGTGTCCATGTGGAAGAAATCCAATGTTCAGGGGAAGAAATACTCATATCGGGGTGGTGATGGTGCAGTGGATAAGACACATGCCTTTGGTGTGAGAGACCCAGGTTCTGTTCGCCACAGTGACATACACCATTGTGTCCCTAAGCAAGACACTTAACTCCCAGTTGCTCCAGAGGTTTGCTTTGGATAAAAGTGTTAGCTACATGAATAAATGTTATAAGTACTGCAGTTTCATTGTTTTAATCCTATGTTACTTAACATAGTAACATAACAAGTCCAACATTCAAAATCATACTAACATGTATTAGCGTCAAACGTAAGGAACAAATTTACTGCTTATGCAGAATGGCCCATTTCAGAATTATACATATTATAGATATGATATTATAGATATATAGATGCATTAGTGATGCATTAATGTGTAAGAATCAATAATGTTAATTTCAACTACTGACGGGTAGTTTAATCCATAATCAAACATCATAATTTAGTTGATTTATATTTGATGTTAAAAATCAGAATCCACCAAGTAACTAGAAAATAATGTTGAGTGTAAAAATTACAACATTGTCTTCCGGAATATGTAGTGGAGTACAAGTAGGACCTCAAAATTGTACTTGGGTAGGCCTGCAGTACTTGAGGAAATGTACTTAGTTAGCTACATTCCAACGCAGGTGCTGATTGTCTTATGAAATTATGCTGTAATATTAAATTAAATTCCACTTATGTATGACCGCTGGCGAGTTATAGTCTTAATATCGGATCCAAATCAGAATCCAGCCTGAACATGATGTGCAAACACTTTGCTGTCTCTTTTTCTACAGGATTGAGAGAAAATCTAAATCTATCTAAAGTAAGAACAGAATGAAAAAAACCCTACAACAAAAACACGGCGTGCTTTGTGAAAGCAGAACTCCTGCGTCAGAGAACAATTTGGGATATATTTTATAAATCATTAAAAATGCAATTGCAGCAAAAAAAAAAAAAAAAAAAAAAAATCCGGTGTAAAAAAACAACAACAAATATTTCAAATATTGACAAACTTACCTCCACCTCGAACGTGCGCTCGCTGTCATCCAGGAAGATCACGCGCAACCGGAGTTTCGTCTCTTTGGAGACCAGGGACTTGGTCGTCAGGCTCCCGAGTCTCCGGGTCCGCCGCTGACGGTCCCCCATGTCTCTGTGTCTCTCTCAGGAGGAATGACAACAACGAGGACCGCAGCCATCCATCAAATCCACCGTCCTGAGTGTAAATCCCCAAGTCGCAGCAGCACGACGGCTTCACGCGCTCCTCCTCGTTACCACCATCTTCATCATCGTCGTCCTCTCCTCTCCTCCGGGGACCCGTGGCTGCCAACGGAGCGCGCGCTCTCCAGACGCGTGATGGCACGCTGACGTTGTTTCCAGTCACTGGTCCAGCCTCTCTATACTACAATACTATACTGCAGGGATGGAGGAAGTACTTTTTCCTGCGTTCAAAATAATACTTCTGTACAGTAGTAGGCTACAAGTAAAAGTAATTATTATCATCATCATCATCATCATCATTATCATCATCATCACAATTGTCATTACCGATGCATTGATATCAGTAAGCAGACCTTACTTCAGTCTATTTGCCGTATTTCCACTTTATGCTACTTTTACTTCTACTCCACTATTTCAGAAGGAAATATTGTACTTTTTACTCCAATTGAATTACTTACTTTATGAGAAGACTTCTGGTCAGGTGTACATTAGTCAGAGCTGTGCATGGAATTCAAACACAGCACTAATTAGGACACATAGCCTAACTATTTTTACCAGTTAAACTACCAAACAGTATAATAAGTAGGCTAGGCCACTTATGCATTACTACATCAGCAGATACAAATCAATAACATAACACTGACTGGGTCAACTCTGCACAATGAGAAGGCTTCTTCAACTACATTTTTTCTGAGAACTTAAGTAAATGTTAAATGCAGCACTTTCACAATGTGGTGTTACTATTTTTATTAAAGTAGATCATCTTAATACTTAGTCTGCCACTTTATAAAAGATTGGGTAGTTTAAGTCCATAGGCCAGTATTATAACCCCACACTCCAAGTACAAGTGCCCTAAAATATTACTTATGCACAGTGCTTGAGTAAATGTAGTTAACTTAACAGTATACTGTGTTGATATGACACTAAATGTATACATTACAGTTGAATGAAATGTCATTATCAACACAATTTCACACAAAGCAACCAAGTCAAGTTAAACAATAAATAAAATGAAATAGAATTAAACATAGATAAATAGGTAGACCGTCTAAAACAGTGTGATTAAAAGAAGCATCAGTATTTTAATTATATCAGAATATTAAAGAATCTTTATTGCTTTATAATAATAGTCCTGTAAGAGCTTATACATCATGACTGTGACTTTATATAATAAGTGCTTTTAATTTGTAAAATATTGCTTTGATATCCAGGTATACAGTGGGTTTGTGTAGCACATTTTACCTTTAAAGAGCCAATCCAGACGTCTTTTCTTTTTGCTCTGAATAATAACTGATGTTTTTCCTCACAAAAAGTTCAATAACAATATTAGAAACAGTTGAAAATCCAGAATCTTTAAAAACACAAAAATTAGTTTGATTTCAAAGGTTGAACTGCTGGACACAAGAGGTCCTTCCAAAACTAATCACAAATGTAACAAATCATGCTCGTGAGCACAGAAAAACCTTCTTGCTTTAGCAGATAAATGTGAAAACACCATTCTAGTGAAAATGTCTGCACGTATATACACATACACATTTCTTACTGCAGAAATCTGGCCAGATGTGATTTGTAGTTTTCTTTCTTCACATGTATTTTCTGTGAACAGGCATGTTAGCTGCACAGAGAGGATTCTAAACAGTCAATATATGTGTTTGTGTGTGTGTGTGTGTGTGTGTGTGTGTGTGTGTGTGTGTGTGTGTGTGTGTGTCCTCCACGGGAATAATATGAATTTCACGGTGGCTGGACCCTTTCAGAGAAGTGACCTGTCCTAAAGTAGGCTAGTAGTGCAATGCCTCCACTCGCCTCCAGCATGAAGTGAGCACTTTGTGTGTGTGTGTGTGTGTGTGTGTGTGTGAGAGAGACATACTGGGATGACACACATGTAAAATGTTGGTCAAGACATTGTCTCGCATTTTCTGTTTCTCCTCCTGTATCCTGTATCTCCTTCTGTGAGTGACACACATCCACATACTGTCACACACACACACACACACACACACACACACATAATACAGAGAAGACCAAAGACATGGCTTCATCCGCAGTACAGTTGGTGGTGCAATAAGCATCTAGTTCTTCAATCGTTGGGAATGATTAAAGATATTTTTTCCTTGCAGACTAATGAATACTAACGAGGGTTCATCTGGTGATTGACAGTCTAAAAAGCCAATCAGAACAGACAGCCGAAGTCATGACATCACGTCGGGGCTGACCTCTGTTCCCCTAGCTTGTGTAGCTCAGTGCAATCTCTCATTCAACATTTCTTTCATCGACCTTTCTGAAAACATTACACCCATTCTTTGGGTTAACTTTCCATCTTCTAAGACAATTTTGCTCCCACTACAGTACTCACTATTAGAAATTGAAACCTTGATGATTTTAACCATTACTTTGTTAGCACTAATGCAGTGTAATCATAATTTGGCTTCAACACTCTTTTCTATTGTTATTAAACTATTATCTCTGCTGTCTAAAAACCTCCACAGTGTCCAGTCCTCTCTGTCATGCTGTAATTACCCACATGTCTTAGCTATCCACAGCCCAGTGGTGGAAAAAGTATCTTTAAGTACAGAAGTATTAGCTGTAAAATGCACTTAGTTATGTCTAGCGTTAGAATAATGTATAATGGTGCGAGCGTGACAGAACATGCACACATTATTTTTATTATTACACACACAAAGATATTAACTGCAACTTTCACAATACAGGTCTTTGGGCATAAAGTCAACAACTGAGAGTTGTACAGGTGGGAAACATAGGGAGAGACATTACAACTAAGCACAAGCTCACAAAGAAGCCACCACGCACACAATCTGGAGGCGGAAACCAAGGGAGGCACTGACCCTCTTATGATTGGTCACTTCCAACGCAAACACACCCACACGAACTCCAGTCACTGAAGCTGGACTGAGCTTTCTGGTGAAGCCAAGCCACAGTTGAGTGGGTCTCTGCTAGAGCACACAATCCGAGAATGTGGAGATTTCACTTGCCCATTACTTTCAGTCTTTTTTACCTGGTCTACAGTCAAGGAACTGTGCCAGATAGGTACTGGATACTCCAGCACCAGACGCAAGTAGCTTGTGTAGATGAAAACCAGTTCAGGGTCTCAAACACCAAATTTCTTCAGGCAATGCAGAGCAAATACCTTCCTTGTTGTCAGCATGTGGTCTGCCTGGCTGTCCCATTGCCAGTTACCCTGAATGGTGACCCCCCAGGACTTTGACTGTGTTCTGGTCAATGGAGGTCAATTTTCTGGTTTTCTCTTTGATGTCCTTCAGCAGCTCTGCCTCAACTCTCTGTGATTTACGGAGTTTCCACATGGTCAGATAGCTTTACTAGTTGCTAAAGTAACTGCAGATGCATTTTGGACAACTCTCATTTGACGGACACCAGCTTTGCGTCAAGTCCTGCCTCCTACTCTGCCTCTGATTGGCTACTGCTAACCCTACAGCCAACCTAACCAATAGAGGCAATGAGTACTATTACCAATCAGATGCAGAACTGTTGAAAAACTGGTGGGAAAAAAACATTACATGGCTCAGCAGTCGCCCAGTGAACACAGATGGATTGGAACTGAACACAGTCTTCAAGAAGCTGTAGGTAGGTTACCAGTTACTTTCCAGAAAAAATCCCCTGATTCCCAACTTTTTTTTAGCTTTTTACCTAGTGGCAGCTACCAGTGTATTTTATTTGTAGGCCTATTTGTGAGCTTAATGATTATTTGTTATATTACAACTTGTAAAGTGAAGGCAAAGTTATGTTTATGATCCCAAAGATGGCTCGTCACGTTGCATTTTCCAAGTGGACCCTAGATTGTTTTATGATTTTTTGTTTTTTCTATGAGAGTATAATGAATGTAATGGAGTAAAAAATAGTCTATATATTTCCCTCTGAAATGTAGGGAAGTGTAAGTATAAAGTACCATAAAATGGACATACTTGAGTAAAGTACAAATACCTCAAAACTGTACTTAATTACAGTACTTGAGTAAATGTACTGGCTGGATGTTTATATTTGCATTTTTACAAATTTCTGTGGGATTTTGAAAGAGGCTTTCTTTCTTCTGGAGCAGAACCTGTTTTACTTCAGCTCTCTGTAGTCTTTGTAAACTGGAGGCTCTGATCAGATGGACAGACTGTAGATCAGATATGATTTTTATTACACAGTCAGACCACTAGATGGAGATAAAGACCCGAGGATAATCCAAAGCAACTGATAGAAGAGGTTCAGTCACACACACACACACACACACACACACACACACACTTGTCCACTATACATGAGTAGATATTTTGATACTGTAATATGAACCTGCATCTCTCCGTCTCTACTCACCATCTGCCACACACACACACACACACACACACACACACTTTTTATTTTTCCATCCCTTGTCTCCAGTCGCCTCCTTCTGTCTCTCCTCACCCGTCTCACTTTCTCTCTCACACACACATACACACCTAACCTGCTTGACACAGTAGCATCTGGCGTCTTTACGCTGCGGCCTCCCTCCTGAGACACAGCGCGCACACACACACACACACACACACACACACACACACACTTTGACAGCTTTCTCTCTCTCAAATAATTTTTCTACTGCACCAATGTGCGGTCCTGCGGTTCAATGAGAGTGATACACCTGCATCATGCCGGGCCAATAATAAACAATATAAAATATCCAGCTCATGTAAACAAACGGCTGTGCTTAAAACAATTCACATATTCTATCCATCAGATTCATCATGTGTCAGTTATCCACACCTGAATAAAATGCTGGTAAGGGTTTATGGATTGATCTAAATTAGCCAAAACAGGAAACTGTACAACTCTACAGTTAACGGTACATAAAACCCCATTTATCTTTTTTGGATCGGATCGTATAGAAAGCTTATTATGAAGTCCTATAAGAGGAACATTTTATTTGCCATAAAGAGGAAAATGCTGACTGATAGGTAAGTTAAAGCTTTAGGCCCAATAACGTCACCATTAGCTAGTATTTGATTAAATGAAATAAAATTATGAATCACTGATCTGTGTAGTTTAAATATATAAAAATTATCTTTAATATTATATTTAATATCGGCCTTTCTGTGTGACGTTTGCATGTTCTCCCCGTGCCCGCGTGGGTTCTCTCCAGGTGCTCCGGCTTCCTCCCACCGTCCAA